TAATTCACACTGAAATTCCAGATGTTTTGAGAAGTTAAACTGAAATAAGTAAATGTTAGAGGAGTATAATTACCTCAGGTGTCTAAAGCAGGTTATTTTTTATTCAATTATGAAAGAAGAAAGTAACAAGATTAGCTACAGTTTTAAAATTAATGTGCATTGAAAAATAAGGCATTAAAAAATGAAATAGAGAAAATGTTTACACTAGTAGATAAGTATCTGTAATTATTAGATGAGCTTAATATTTATGAGGAACAATTAAAAATTTCTGAGAGCAATACCCGTTCTGTTCCTGGGAAGTAGTTAAAGAACACGGATAGTTAATAAAATGAAATGCAAATATGAAACAATAAATAACCACAAATTAAATCAAATATATAATAGGCTTTAACTCAGACTTAAATGAGCAGCTGATATAATTAACTGACAGTAAAAAACAATGAGTACATGTATGTAGTACTCCTGACATAATACAATCTTTCTGGAGTGTGATCCAACAGCAAGCAGCAGAAGCTGTAAAAGCTGACATTACATGTTAATACGATCGTCCCATTTTTCACAATATATTCTACAGAAATAACTCTCAAAAGGGGAATCCTTTTTAATATAAATGTGCTATATATAATAACTGAAACAGGTAAACTGAAATTTGTGAGTATAAAAACCTCATAAAAATTATAGATCTCTATTCATGAAAAAAATAACAATAAGAAAAAAACACAAAAGCATGTGTAACAAGGATATAAATTATGCATAAGGATCAAAAGAATTCATAAAACAGAATTGTTGCCAAGGGTGGGGGAAGGGTAATAGGTATGACTAAAGGGTAGCACAAGGGAGATCCTTGTAGTGTCGGAAGAGTCTGTGTCTTGACTGCAGTGATAGTTACGGGAATCGTCATGTGATAAAATGACATAGATCTATAGTCAGCCATTATACCAATGTCAGCTTCCTGGCTTTGACATCACAATTATACTATAATTATGTAGGATGTAATTGTTGCAGACCTCTCTATACTATCTTTGCAACTTCCTATGAGTCTAGTTATTTCAGAATAAAAGTTTTTTAAAAGCTTACAAAAGCCTATAAAATAGTTGATACACCAAAAAAAAAGGTGTTTTGGGGTACTTGGTTTTATGTTTTGCTTTTTGTCTCATTGTTTTATATCTGTTCTTTCCATGTTAAAGTTAGTTGAATATACAATTATTTTAAGTATTTTCTTCATAAGCTGTAGAACTAAAAGTACTATGAATTTTTTCATATATTTCCTACCAACTGGATATTTCTTGGTTTTAGTATGTGCCCAGAGTTGTGACATCTGCACAACAGAAAGCTGGAAGAACAATTACAGCCCGGATTACAGGCAGATGTGATTTTGCTGCAAAAAACAGAATTAGTAGCAGCTTGGCTATAATGGGAGTTTCTCCTCCCATGAGCTCAGTTGTTGTGGAAAAACATCATCCAGTCACAGTGGTGAGTACACATTTGCTAACCTTTGTCAAAAAAACTTTTTCCTGAGAGGGTACAAACTAAAAACACTTAAGTGACATGTTGAGAAAATCAAAATTCATGGTGACAAGTACTTGTTCTGCCTTTTACCATTATAGTCTTTATACACCTGTAATTATCAAACCTGCTGTACATCTACTTTTCCTCTTTCCTGGAAATTAATTTCAGAAACATTGTTTCTTCTCAACAGTGTTAACACAAAAAGTAATCCAGTGTATTGGCAGCCAAAGGATAAACTATATAAACAATTTCTCATTATTTAAAAGGAGAAACAAAAAACTGTTCACTCACTAACTGCTGTTCATGTAGCAGATATTTAATTACAAGAAACACTTCCCTATTTTGATAATTTTTAAATTCTGCTTTTTTTAAAATGTCTTCTTCCCTTTTCAGTATACTTGTCAGCATATTTCTAATTTGTAAGAAATTCAGGTTGCAGTAATTTTGAGTAAGTAACGATTGATTTCAGCAAAAATTTTAAAAGCCTGAGTTAGTGCCTCAATTTTGCTACTTACTGCCTTTGTGATCATGTGCAAATCAAGTAAAATACCTGAGCCTCCATTTCTCTTGTGTAAAATGGGAATGATAAGTGTACTTAGTTCCTAGAGTTATCAGGATTCAGGATTAAATGAGATAATGTGAAAGTTGAATAAGATGTTTAAAGGCACTTTGTAAATTGTAAAACCATAAGCAGATGTAATTTAATAAAAATTACTAGAGAAAGGAATATGAGATACCTCAGTATTGTTTCTTACAACCACATGTGAATCAACATTTATCTCAGAAAGTTTAATATTTGAAACTTATAAGAACACAACCTAAAGAAAAACAAGAATTGTATTAAGAGAATGTTCTCTATATAAATTCTCAGTGTTAGACAACATTCCTGTCTATTTAATATGTCAAAATACTAGCAAAAATATATATGAAATTATTTTAAATCCTTTTCTTTCTGGATACTAGATGATTAAATCAAGAGAAGCTGGCCTGATTCTTGAAATTTAGCCTCAGATGAAGGCTGACACAGTTTAGTGGAAGACAGAGAGAGGCAGTAATCCAGATAGAGGACATGGAGGATGGAGGATTATCTTTCATAGGCTGCAAGGATTCTGAAAGTCCTAAGATGAATTCTCTATATATTTTTGAATATGTAAGATTATTTATAGAAAAATAAGAAATAAACTTAATTCTTTTTTTATCAGCACATACGTATATAGAGGACTGTCCAAAGATTGTCCATTTGTAAGATAAAGATAGCATAAAGAGAGCACATGTTTATTTTTAATTTAGACAACCTTATGGTTTTGCAGCAATGATAGGAATTAATATTTTAGAATAAATAATCAAGAATCTAAAGACTTATAACTCATTCTGATATTTATCTACCAAAGTGCACTTTACTTATTCAGTACGTACAGTACTTCTCCAGTACTTGATCGTGAATTAGCCATAAACTGCTTCTATTATTACCTAGTTTGGAACATGTAACAGACACAATGGCAGACCTCTGTACTATTTTTCATTTTATCCCAGGGATCAAGATCTTGAACTGCCAGGAAGTTATTACCAATAAAGCAGTGATCAGATTTCTGACATTTTAGCCCCACCTTCTGGATAATTGCTTGCTCCTAGTGCTCCTTCATTCTCTGCTGTATCTTGTAGATCATGAAACCAGTGGTAATGTAAATCTATTTCTACAGTTCCTCTTGACCATCCTCCCCAAGGAGAAATAGCTCTTTTTTGACAGGATCAGATTAGGTGGTTAGTAACTGAAATTTCATTCTAGTTTGAAGGATCTCTCTCATTTGTAATGGTTATACAGTTATTTATGTACAAAGAAATACTTATATAAAACATATTAAGGTTATTTTTTCCCTTTCTTTAAAGAGGAACTTATTTTGAAAGCAGAATCTGACATGAGGACCTTTGTTTCAAGAGGTTTTATTCTTTTTTTTTTAAGCAAAAGCTGCATCATAGGGTTTTTGAAATACATAGTGAATGTTTTGTTCAAATACATATAGCTTTATGTGAAGTATTTTAAAGATGACTGTCTAAAGTGGAAGGCCTTAATAGACATTTATGCATACTAGTTAGTGACATGGACTGAGAATTTACCTGGAACAAATCTCATTGCTGCCTACTAAGAGGCTGTATCAGGTATAACACAGGAAAGCCTTGTAGTTGTACATTTACACTTATCTATAATGTAACATACACTTATGTATGTGTACAGGTGAAGTCACACTGTGCACTGACTTGAGCACTTCAGTGCTCATGTTCAAGGTGTTCCCCCTTGAGCTCTGAAGTAGTTTATGTATCCTCCCCTCAACATGTGTCCCCAATATCTAGTTATTTATTTAGAAAGTTGTGATCCACATTAAGCAAGCAGCAGGCCTCTGGAAAGACCTCTTGTGTGACCATAAAAGGTTTAGCCAGCTCCCGGTGAGCCAGGTGAAATATGAGGGATCTGCTTTACTCTGGTGTGAAGCAAGGACCTGACTGGATTGCTCAGGGCTTCCCCCTTGTTCCCAGGGATTGAACTCTACATCCTGACAGATACAGGGAGGAGGAAGTTAGATGGAAGGAGGGGAAGCGTGGGGGCTAACCTTTCTTCACGCCGAAGTCCCCTTCTATATCTAGCCTCTGTAAACATTACAAGATTCCACTTGAGTCTTCTTTGAGGAATGACTCCATGGCTCTTAACGATCCTATGGAATACAGCTGATATTAAACTGTGGGCACTGAACACATCAGTCTAACTGGCTATGGTTCCTTATGAGAAAGGAGCACATCTTGTTTTAATGGCTATTTCACCTAACCCATTGTTTGTATCTACTGGATGTTTAACAAATGTTCACTGGATTAAATTATAGATAATGAAATGAAGTTTAGTAAACTAAACATTAATTTAAGCAATTAAGTAAAACTTTAAGTAATTTTATGGGATTATTAAAGCTGATTTTACCTTTTTCAGCAAACCATTCCTCAAGCTGCTGCAGCAAAATATCCCCGGACCATTCATACTGAAAGTACCTCAGCTTCCAGATCTCTTGGACCCAGATCAACTCATACCCAGCCTCTCACAAGCATCCATTCTATAAAAGTAGTTGACTAAAATGAGTATGTTCTTATCTAGGTCTTTTAATTCCTCTGGTCTTACCAAAGATAAGAAGTCTTTAGTTTTTAAATTTTCATATTCTTGAAACATCATGGATATATCATGTTCATCTTCTCAAAATTACAAGAGACTTTTTCAAGCCATACCATCCTTTGTTAACTATATATAGGATTATTTTAATGTTATTTTTTATTTAAGCAATTAAGTAAAACTTTTTAAATTAAAAAAGAAACTGGACTTTAAGTTTCAGCTGTCATTGCTTATGTTATCAAACTATATAAATGCTGTTTTTACATTATTTCCAAAACGCTAAATCATTTCCTGTGTTACCAAGTAAATTTTGAGAGAGAACTTTACTAAAAAAATTTATTAAAACTACAAGTAGTGATTTTACAGCATCTTACTATGTTGATGGACAGTGACTGTGAATGGGTATGTGGGAGAGACTTGGTGAAGAGGGGAACCTAGTAAACGTAATGTCCTTCATGTAATTGTAGATTAATGATACCAAAATAAAATAAAATAAAATGTTAAAGAAGAAGAACAGAACTCAGCTATTTAGACTAGAAAAAAAGGGAAACTATGTTTGGTCTCGTGATTAAATGGTGTAAAATGCAAAAAAAAAATTTATTAAAACTGATAGAAACTAAGGTATTTTTATTTGAAAGTTAAAAAGATAAAGACCAAGCATAATAATAATGATAGTCTATCACAAAGTTTGTGACTTTAGAGTATTAGTTAGTCTTCATTTTTCTGGAACTCTAAGATAGGGGGAAATGGCAGTACCTATGAGTAATTTCCAACGTTCAGAGGGAAATTTTTTCTCACTAACACAAAAACATGAAAAAAACATAAAAAAAAAAAAATGAAAAGAAATTTCCTGTTAGAATAATCCTACTTCTGATGTTCTTTCTTGCCTTTCTGAAACACTACAGAATTTGGGCCCTTTTACCCTCTTATCCATACATTGCCATGTGGTGGTGTGGCCCAGGCAGCTGAGCAAACCTTCCACACCTGAGCAGAGACTTTTTAATGACTGACCAACGAGAAGAAACCATCTGGGTAAAAGTCAGAAGAACAAGACCAGATTTCTGATGGTTTTATTGATGGCTGACTGCTTTATCTTAGGCCAGACACTAAATTTAAATGTCTCAGGATCCTTACCTACGAAGCAATGAGATCTACCTACCTCCCCTATTTCACAAAGTACTTATAGGTTACAAAAATGAGTAGATTCTGAAGTATCTGTCTAGAGCATTAGTTTCCCTATCTGTAACAGAAGTGGATGGACTTAAAAATCAGAAGCCTCTTTCAGTTTGAACATGATCTAGCTCTGTGCTCTTAACTTTATTGTAGGACATAGTTTTTCTTAGCCTCACATTGTAATGGGACATGAGAGAACAGATGTGAGATAGGCAAATACCTACAGGTATTTAATAGGCATTCCACCTTTACCCTCAATGCCTCGGTTACACCAAGGCTTCTCTGAGCTATACAAATACCTGGCTGTGTCTTAAAAGAATATTGGCTCCTTCTTATGCAACACATGTTCTTAGTTCTGGCCCAGGTACCACTGTGGCCAAGAGCTCCTTATGGGTTTCAGCAAGCACAGAGCAACAGCCCATCACCAAGCGCTGCCCACCTAGCACCTGGGCATGCTGCTCTCCTGGGCTTTCCCGGTGCTCCGAGAAGTCTCAGGGGACCACAGGCTCCACATGGAGCCCACGCGTCAGCCGTCCAGTCCAGAATTAACACCCCATTGCAGTAAATATCAATTCTTCCTTGCCCCCATTTATGAATTACCCTGCAATGTACTAGTCCATCCCATCACTTGGAAGAGAGTACCCTCAAGGTCAAATAATCAGTTGTGCTTGATAGCAGTGCCAGCCAATGTGGTAAATCACCCTGGTCTTAGCGCCCATTCCTTCCCCATCTCACTCCCATTTTCCTTCACTCCTGCCTCCTAGGATTTGCACTCCTGGAAAAAGGAGTTGCTCGTAAACTATAGCCTCAGGCTCTGCTTTTTGAGGAGCCTAGACAGTAACAAGGAATGATTTTCAGTATCCAAACCATAACAGCATGGACAAACTAAAGTGAATATTTTGACTATTGTAATTAAGACTATTATAGGCATCTTTTTAAGCCTTAAGCTCTAGAAATTATATATTGTCCAAAGCACAAGTAAATAAAGTTAGCCTAAGTTAACTTAAATTCAACAATTAGAACATTTATGTATGTTTTATATATTGTTAATAATGCATTCACATGTTTATTTTTGCATAAAGAAGTTACCCAGATTTTTTGGTGGGGGAGGAGTAGCAAGGTCAGTGGAAACTACATAGTAAAGAACAGATGTGGGCAAGACTTTTCACTGCATACCTTTTTAAAAAACTTTTTGGAATCACATGATTTAAACATTCATAACTTTAAGTGGGCCATTTATAATCAACATGAGACAAAGGTATAGAACTATAAATTCATGATAGCTTAACTAGACTGAAATTGCTCATGATTTTTTTTCTGGCCTTAAAGACTAAAAAGTCAGCATTTGAGAATGCAGAGCCTTAAATTATAATGAATAGATGCACATAAACTGATATAAACTGGTATTTGCTTTCTTCATAAGTTCCTCCAATTATAAAAATAGTGCATGTTCATTGTGAAAAAAATAGAAAATACCAAAAAAGTACAAAGAAAATAAAGACCTGTAATTGCATCACAGGAGATTAAAAACATTCATATATCATTTCTGGTCCTTTCTAAATAATGTATTACATATAGGTGTTACTTAAAGCCAACAATGAACTATAAATTTCCAAAGCTAGTTTCTCTTACTGATGAAAAGTAACTAACAGTTAATATTTCCAGTACTGTGGGCATGAGGTTAGGTATTTAATAGGCATTCCACCTTTACCCTCAATGCCTTGGAGGAGATAGAACTTTCCCCTTTTTATAGAGAAGGAAACTGAAGATCTGAAAACTTGAATATTAGCATGCCCAAAGGCTTACAGCTAATAAACCATGATTAAAAAGCCATGTCTGTCTATTCTAAATCCCTTTTCCATATACCGTGAAACTGCTCCCACCATTTTTTTTTAAAACATGATGTACAAAATCCTAGATTATGCCAAATCACTTATGTTCCATCAAATGACAAATCGGAAAATCAAACACAACTTGTCTTAAGCAAAACCAATAATATTTTTTACTTCATTTCAGTGACTGGGAAGTATAATACCATCTTTCCATCTGTTAGAGGATCCTGTCACCACCATCTTCATAGTTGAAAGGAATATTAATACTATGGCTAGATGAACTTTATGGCATTAGTGAAGTGAACATAGACTGGATACTGAGTGGAAAGTCATTCAATACAATTTTTTAGGCATTTATGAAACCACATTTCATGGGCCTTGAGTCAGTTTTGCTTCTGAATTGACAGATATTTTCTGGAAAAAATAGGATAATATTTATCATTAATAGTGACATTTATTAAGCACTTGCTATGTGCCAGCATTATTTCTTAATCCCACAATTACCCTTTGACATAGACACTTTTCTAGTTAGTAAAAGAGAACACTGTCACAGGCAGGTTATAGAACTTGCTCAAGAACACAGAGAGTACTAATGTTGGAGTTCAGATGTATGCCCACACAATCTTGTTCCAGAACACATACCCTTCACCACTTCAGTGGACTGCCTTTCCTGAGAGTTCTTATGGCTACTCTTTCATAGAAACAATTGTAAAGTTGAGGGAACAACTCCCAGCACTATGAGGATAATGTCATGGAAGGTAGGCATCGTGCACTATTTCTTGTACCTACCACTGCTTGAAACTAAATATTGAATTGATGGTCTGATTCACGTATTTATGTTCTCAGCTTCAGGTCAAACTCTAACAGTGAAAATAACTGCAGATGTCCCTAGATTTTGCTTGAATGGTTATTATTACATGAGAAAACACCACCTTATTCATTGACAAGTTTTCAAAGTGTCTTCCCTGACAATATGGTCTTTGGCAGAGTGGTTTTTAGCAGTAACTTCAGCTGGCAAAGTAATAACCCATCTACTCTTTTCTCTCAACCTAGAATAACATTTTTAAATACACTAACTTGCAGTTTCCCAACAGGAGCAACTGGCTTTTGAGCAAGACAGTTTCTTAGCTGTGGAGAACTATACTATAACCTTACGAGTGGGCTTAGCATTCCTGCCCTGACACCCCCCAGCCCTCCACTCTGCCCACACACATACACATGAACAGAAACACTCCTACACTTTTGCAAATAATGCTGAGCACCACCAGTGTCCTGAGTGGTCAGGACTGAGTCACTCACCAAAGGAGAAACTACATATTCTTTAGGAGCCACGGCCAACACCGAGCTGAACTGCTGCTGTCAGGAGTCATGGTATTCCTGTCAACTGTCCCCTACCACTTTAAGGACAAGGAGTTTCTATCTCTCAAAACTAACTCACCAGCTAGTTCCGGGAAACCTGCGGGTACCAACTCTTCATACAGATGCTTGACGGGAGGGGCCTGTGTCATTAGGGTCCCATGCAGGCAGATAAGCAGAGTCCTGTGGCCATGTTCACGGAAGCTTTCCCTTCCTACACCAGGCACAAAAGGTCTGAGGTGAAACACCACATACTGATGTCTCTTTTCACTGTGATCTAGATTCTTGCTAAATTTCTCTGTGACTGGTTGCAAGGTCACTCCTCTTCTGACCGCTGTCAGGTAAAAGCCCAGCAGGTGAGAGCCCGTGCAGTTCCCTGCACCGGTGCTTCTGGAGGGTGAGCCAGAGTCTGGGCTCACTGCGACACCTGCCATGCACCTACTGTGCTTGACACAGAGGAGAGGAGGAGGGACTGAACACTCTCTGCCTGGTGGTACAGAACAACTTGAATGAGGTATGGAGCTTCTCTTCACCCTTCAGGCAGCACCACTATCCACCAGCATTTCTCAAACTCAAAGGGCATATTTCACCTGGAGATCTTGTTAAAATAAAATGGAAATTCTGATTCAGCCCATCTGGGGTGTGGATCTGAATGCCTAGCAAGCACACAGATGCTGCTGCTGTGGGTTAACCTCTGAGAGGTGAGCATGGGCCATCCTGCCAGTTTCTGATGGAAGTCTGCGTCCCCATGCCAGAATTATTTGCTGAGCCAATCCTCACTGGACACCTACCCCCTGAGAGGTGTTGGGGAAAGTAATGGGATATGAAGGGGAAGCCACTGTTACTCCTAGCAGGAGTTCACAGTTAACACCCAATAGGCTTCTTGCTCTGCCTGAGTACGTGTGGGAGCAGACAGATGCCCCCAATAGAGGGCCTGAGCTCTGAGGAGGAAACTTGCTGGACAGACTGTTAGAGAAGCGGGTGTTTCGGGAAAGCAAACTGCACATATAAAGAACAATCTCCTAGGCAAATTCTGCTTTTTTCCTAATCTTGCCCTTGCCAAACTAATTTTTCTTAAATATCATCATCAACGTGTCATTCCTTTGCTCACAAGCCTACATATTCCTTAGGCCCAGTAGTATTGCCCTGGATGATAATGTGATTGGATCATGAATGGCGCTGTTACCATGCCGACCAGACTATAAACTCCAGCGAGCATGCACCATGGCTTACAGAGCTGGTGTGTCCCTGGCCTGGAACAGGTGAATGTACTCGAGGCTCTCCGTAATAAAGGGACACTGTGTTTCCATTTCTTTGACATTGTGACCCATTTCTTTGGGTAAAGAGAGATTTCCAGAAGGCAACTGAATCTTCCTTAAATTTTCACAGAATACCATATGGCTAATTAGCGACAAAGGAGAAAATTCAACTGTCTTGCCAATGCCTTTCAGCCCCAGGCAAGTTCACTATAGATTCAATGTAACCAAAAAAACAGTTCTTGGGGTGAAAGGGTTATACCCAACTTTATTTCCACAGTGGCAGGTCAATCACTAAAATCTCATTCACTCAGAGCGAGTCCGCATGCAGCAAGCCGGGCTCTGCCTCTGGGCCCCTCTGCCTGCACAGCCATCCTCTGGGCCTCCCTCTCTGGCTGCACAGCCATCCCAGTCTCTGTCCTTGGCACTACCATCACTCCAGCCTCTGCTCTCCTGCAGCCTTGCAGCCATGCCACCATGCTGCCCAGAGCACTGGACAGGGCTCCCCCTATAGAGTCAATAACAACTTACTGCCCACACTTGTGTAGTGAGATAGCCAACCACGGCCAGGTGAGAATCCTGGCCACAGGAACTTTCATTTTATCCACATTAACAATAAAAAAGAAATGTTTCCAGAAACTGTAGACAAAATTCAACCTTTTCAATGCATTATCTTCCATTTTTTCACATGAAAATGTATCTCTCGAATTAGTAACAAAAAGTGCCACAATTTACTTGTATGTGGCATAAGCAGCATGTGTCTGTGGGCTGTGGTTCTGCCATATACAATCCCCAGCAGTCAGCAATGTGAATCAACCCTGGAGCATGGGACTCATTTACACCTCATGATATCCAAGTAAACAAGCACCCTGAGACAGTTTTGCCAACAGAAATGCCTGCTTCTTTGTTTTCAAAGTTAACTACCTGATTAACACCAAATAAACTTTCTATATTTCCTATGTTTTGGTCAAATCATAAAAAAAGCAAAGCTAAGAACCCCAGCTAACCTGATCTCACTAAGTCTGAGAGCTGGAGTCTGACTGAAATGACTCCATGGCTTAGAATCCTCTACAGAGAGAGCCCTGAGTCTGTATCCAGTGTGTCTCTCACGGGACAGCTGGCCTCATCCAAGGCCATGTTTAAGGGGTTCCTCCTTGAACAGTAAGCCATTTGTTAGCCAATGAACCCATTCACCCCAGGACAATCACAAGGAACACCAGAAATCAGGCTGGCTTCCCAGGGACAGGCCAGCTGTTAAATCCTTGCAATCCATTCAGTTGGGAACCTTAATTTCTTTCTAGGCTAAATGCCACCAATATGGATCAATAAAAGTAATCGTGCTTTGCAAACTTCAGTTTATTGCAGATTCCCATAAGTGTTTGCAAGCTGCAAAGTTCTCAGTCACCTTTGTGGACCTAAGCTAACTGTCTCCATTCCTGGGCCCTTGCAGTCTGCTGCTTACTGTGAGTACTGGCACTTAGCCTGAAAGATCTGCCACTAGGAAGGACTGCTATTCCTAACACTGGTGGCTCTTGCCCACATCATCTAGACCATGCTCACCTGACCACTGATCCTCTGTGGCTCTGATCTGGTCCTCTGTGAAGTTCCACGTACAGGACAGCCTCTGCCACTCATTGGCTTTCAGGGGTAGTAAACCAGTTTCCAGAGGAGACTGCGAATATGCCTGGTCTCTGGACTGTGATCTTGCTTGAATGTCAGAATAAAGAGACATGATGGGTCCCTGATGCTTTCACCATGCTCCTAAATTGAAGGTAAGTTAATCAGATGATTTCAGATATATTCTGTTTGTTGCCTTATATATTTTTTCATATATAACTGGTAAAGTGGTAACCAAGACAATGTTTTCAGTGTTACCTGTAACTGGACCATTTCTGTCTTCCAAGATGAAGACAAGTGCCTGAAATTCAAAGCATGAGTACTGTCTGTCTGTCTGACACATAAAACATGAGGGACTTTGCCATGTTGTACCCATACTTTTATCCCAGCCTGCTGACTGACATTGACCCATCCCAAAAGAAAACAGAGGGGATGCTTTGGCTAAGGAAATGTCACAACAACAAATGCATCTTGATAGGCCTTGCTTTTATCTGATACCCTCTTTCTTCTTTTGAATGTCTAATTTTCTCATGTCAAAGTTTCAGTGCAGCCCAGACTGGAAGCACTTTTAATAAGACCCTATAGCTAGTCCCTCCATTCATCCTGATCTCTCTGAATATGAGAACAAATGAGGAGCTTATTCTGGGGACCAAAGGAGTGGACAGGACAGAGGTCATACCATTGTTTTTTAACCCACTGAAGCCAGGCTCAGCCCAACAGCACCATGCCTGGACTGACATCTTGTTTTCTGACTTTTCAAAGGTTCCTTTTGTCCCTTCTGCAGAATCTACCAGTCTTACAGAATCCAACCAAAGAAAATTAGAGAAAATCTCAAAGTGAAAGCAAGTGCCACGATGTTCAAGAGCTGTACCTGTCGTGCATATGCCCTTAGTGCTCCAGGTAATCCTCCTTCAGGGGGCTGCAAACCACCTGACAACATGTAGGACACCCAGCCCACCCAGAGGTTTGGCACTTCTTACATATTCTCCCCTCCTCTTTATATAAACTGACTTCTTTTTTTGTCTTTCATTTAAATAAAAGTGAGTATTAATGAAAGATGCTCTGAGCAGCAAGACAGGAGCCACTGCTGTGGCACAAAGTGAATTAAAAGAGTACGTAGACCTGGTTTTCCAAAACCTACGAGAAGAGCATGGTGGGGCTGATGCTGCAGCCCCCAGCACAGGTCAGCCTGCACCCTTCAGAGCATTAGCAATATCCTCCGGAAGGTCTACAAACTTCTGGGAAGTTTGGCCAAGGAGAAGAGAAAGGCCCTTCTCTAGTATCTGAACTTTGTGAACAAAAGGTGAAATAGGAATGGAAGGGATGAATTACCCATAATTGTTTTAGAGATTGTTAAATGCAAGGTCTTCTTCCCCTAGCCTTAGCTCTACTCCCCCAGTGCCTAGCTCCCAGGCAGTCTTGAAAGAGCCAGGGTGAGGGCGGGGATCCAACAAACTTGGGGGCTGTGGGCACTTCACTTTTTCCTTTTCTCCTCATTCCATCTCCTAAAACAATGATGAATCCAATAAGATAAAAACTCCAGCCACTACAGTGTAAAGGGAAGAGTGCAAAATGCTTCTGCATTCACTTTTGCATTATAGCATTTTTATTTCTTTGAGAAACATGCATGCTTTGTGCATTCTGGAATTGGGGTGGACAGTCCTTCAGCCTTCCACAAGAAAGCACGGGGATTTGGAAAGCCCAGGTCTTTTCCACAGTCAGTGGAAGCATTAACAGCTTGTCTGCCAGGGCACTGAACTATTTGCAGGAGTAATAGGCCGGAACTGGTGGAAACTGACACAGCGTGAGCCAGGGTTTAGAAAGCTCCCACTTGTCTCTGAACCACTGAATTTAACAATGGATGACTGAGTGGTTAGGTAGTGGGTAGGATATAAGAAAGGAAATTTAATCATCTCTTTAATCTTTTTATGAGGAACCATTTTGTATTAGGCCAGGAAATAAACTTGATCAATGAACAAGGAGAATTTTAAATAATAAATAAATGCATGTGGCTCAAAAAACATTTAAGTATAGTAAATAACAAGTCTTCCTCCCACTCCAGACCTCAGGTCACCAGTTGTCACCAAGGTTAACAACTCTTATCATTTCTGGGGATTTCCTTCAGCTATATTTACCAATTATAAAAGATTTTGAAAGTTAATCTAACTCTCACATCTCATAGATTTGTGAGAAAAGAAGGCTTATTCATTTGGGGGAAAAGTAACTTATTGTTATCTAGGGAAAAGAATCTAAAAGTGCTAGTAGGCATTAAGCATAGAACCAGTGAATATTTCTATTTTTAAGGAAAACATGAAAACAATTTAAAAAGCAAAAGAAAAGGCAGAACTTGGGAAAGCTATCTTCAATAAAATATAGTGATAATCTAAGAAAAAGAGGATGAGAAAAAAGAGAAGGAGGAATATAGAAGGAGAGAATAGAGGAGTAGGAAGGAGAGAGATTAAACAGAGAATTCTAATTGTCTCAAAAACATTTTGTTTTGTTTCACAAGCAAATAAGAAAGGTTCAAGGAGGATGGTGTGGCCTTAAAGTGATCCACATGTATCAGGACTACTGAGCTGAGTAACAGGGAGCAAAAAGGCAAATCAATGCATTTTGCCTCAAACCAGGCTTGAGGCTCCTCAGGGGTAAATAACCTCCTGGAGGGATTGGGATCTGAATTTTGGCACTAACCCACCTGACCAGGGGTGGCCATTCAGCCTAGAATGGCAGCAACGCCCACCAGAAATGGTGGGGGGGGGGGGGGTTGTCTGGCAATGAAATTCCTGCCTGAGGGCACAGACTGGAATCTGGGAGGGGAGGGCATGCTACTGAGAAGTTTCATGAGGGGCAGCTATCAGAGGAAGTAATAATGAAAGAAGGCAGAAAGAATGTCTTAGAGACAAGCTTTTTGTGTTCTCAAAATGACTAAGGTTTCTGTGACTGTCACTGGGTAGTTGAGTGCTAGAGAGCCAGCACAGGGGTATGTAGAAAACTGCACAGCCATAACCTTGAACTTCCTTATCATGCATTAGAATGTGAGTTAAGAGCTTCCAGAAGAGACCAGAGCCAAAGACTCCATGACAGAGGGCACAGCCAGGGAGCCAACCATCCAGGGCATGCAAACCAGGCCCATTAGAGCCAACATGGATGTGGCTGCTTGGCCCCACTGAGCTATACATGTACAGTTAAGACTACTGATGCAAGCAGAGGAAGGGGAGGAAGAGGCAGCTGTGAATTCCATGAATGGGGCAGCACAAGACAGAAGGGACAGTCATAACTGCCCTGATCAGAGCTCCACCCATTAAAGCAGAAAAAGAATTACACAGACCTCAGACCGCCCCATAAAAAGATGAGGTTTGCAGAAGAGCTCCTTGCTGAGCTGGGATTATCCTTCCTTACCACTCTCTGCTTTAATGAGCATGTCTGCAATAAGGTCGTGGTTGCTCTTGGAGGCCAGGCCAGGACAATCCTCCCTTGCTAAAAGGTAAAAGTGAAAGTGTCAGGCAGTACAGCCTAGTATTTAGAAGCTCTAGATTTGGAACAAGGGGATCTGAGTTCAAATCCTACTCCTACTGCTTTTATTCAGGGTGAACTTGGGCCAGTCCTCAGCTTCTCTAAGTCTCAGCAACTACCCCATAGTGTTGTAGTGAGAGGTTAAGTATGAAAATACATATTAAGTCCTTAGGACTGTGCCCGGCACCTGGTAATTATTGAAGAGATACTAGATCTTGATAGTGTCAGGTGCTGTGCGAACTGTGCAAAGGATAAGATTTGGGCTTTGGAACTCACATCAACGGATGTTTTATACATGCTGTATCAGTGGGGACCCAAACAATGAGAGCCAAAACTGCAGGGGTCTCCCTGGCTCATTGTACTGGGACATTCCCAGCAAATAAATAGCATGATCACAGTGTTTTTTCCTCCAAGGACAGATTCCACTCATGGGGAGGCTTTAGTCAGGTCCCATATGCTCTCCCCCAATAGCCTTTTCTTCCATTCTTCTATAGGAAGAGACGTCCTGATTTAGCTGGGCACTTGCCCACCTGAACACTTCCTAGCCTCCCTTGCAGTAGGGATGTGACCTAAGTTCTGGCCAATGATATGTAAGTGGAGGAAGCACATGTAACTTCAGTTAAGCATCTTTAAAGAAAGGAGGAATATTGTTCTCCTTCCTTTCCTCTTCCTCCTGAATGGAGTACTGGCATGATGGCAGGAGCTTCAACAGCCTTCTTAGACCAAGAGTTCGAAGCCATGTATTGAGGATAGTGGAGTAATAAGATTGAAAAGGGCTGATTCTTATTAAGATTAACAGCAATCATGACAACACTACTAGTCCATGGTATAGACTTCAGCTCTCCAGAAGCCTATCTAGAATTTTTTTTTCTATTATATCATATTGCCTCTAGCCAAGGGTGAGAGGTTGGAATCTTGACCAAATGGAATGAGCAACAAGGGCTGTTCTGGACATAATTTTGGGCATGAGTGCCCTGGAGCCCATATGGTACTTTATACAAATTACAGAAAGCACACCTTTGTCAAGACTGATATAGCTCAAAGACATAGCACACAGCTTTGCAAGTAGTGTCTGCTAGATTTTATGCAGTACACAATCTATATGTCTATACATTTTTTTCCTCAGCAAAGGATGATGCTTCCCAGAATTTTCTCAGAGATCCTGAAGAAAATTAAATGCACGGTTAGTAATAACCCCAGAAGAAGTTTCAGTCTTAGGAACTATGGGGAAGTTGGGGTTCCTATGGCCATGATCCTCACTGAACTTAAACCACCTGATGATATAACTGGCCTGTTGCTAGGCTACCGCTTCCACACCTTTAGGCAATAAGCTATTATGGTGCTATATAGAGAGCTAGGCCCAGTGCTCTGGGTGGAGGCAGAGACCCTAGTGCTCAAAGTACTGCCAGAGAACAAGCCGGGTAATAAACCCTTTCACCCCAATGAACATTTGCTGTCATTTTCTTTGGTCATATTGAATCCATAGTGAACTTGCCTGGGGCTGAAACCCATTAACAAGACAGGAACCCACATTTCTATGTTTGGGGAACCAGAAATTCATCCCAGTAATTTTTTCACGTGGCTGAGTACTTGCAGCACGGCAACTCCCACCAACTCAAATGATCTGGCTG